GGATCAATAAACAAAGTGATACTGAAGGTTTGCCTGATGTTTATCTTCCTCTTCTAAAGAAAGATCTCTCTCGCACTTAATAAATAATTCTAGAACTTTCTAAACTATTTGACTCATGGATATAAATAGCGGAAAAATATGTGATACGACCAATAACAACACATAGTGTCACGACAAATTTCTATCTGTGTAATGATTATACTTGTAATTCATCAATTTATTTTGCTGTAAAACAGGTAATGTTTCTTTTGTTTTATACTCCGTTTTAAAAGATTATTAATAATAAAATAAATTATTGTAAATTAGAACCTGGAAATTCTCGTTCTACACTTTTCACTATATGACTTCTGACGTTCTAACATTATGATATGAAGCAGCGTCGCATTGATGCTAACACAATTTTTACAATTATAACACACGACGATTGAATTTTATTCCAACTTGATGTAACTCTGCGTCTTAAGAATATTATTAATTTTACTGAAGATGGCCAGATTATGGCCGAAACGTTTAATGTTTTTATTGTAATTCGTAATGCAAGAATAATTAAATATCACTAACTATATCTTGTGGTTCTTTATACTCTTTCTTTTCATATTTTTAGATTGTATTCAAATTCAGTAATCCCAAGAACTCATAAAACTGAGTTTTACAATAATCAATAGATTATTTTTGTGTTATTCAATCCATCATATTGGATTCCATTTTAAATTCTAAACGTTTAGAATTCTAAAGACAAAATCAAACCTTAAAACTCTTAGAAAACAAACTGGTTTTCCACAAGTTACTTTGTTAGAAAGCTCCCTTTAAAAGATTCTTCTACATAATTTCCTTTTCTACATAATTTCCTCTTAGGACAACTTGGAAACCTCTTCGAGATCCAGAAGTTTCCTCTTCGACGCCGGCAAGCTAGAGGGAGTCAGGGAAACCAGCCTGGTATCTCAGACCTCCGTGGAAACTCTAGCCCGCCTGTTCCCGAATACCAAGCTGTCGGTCCTGCAACTGGTACTGCAACGTTGCGGTCAGGATCTACTCAAGGCAATCGAGTACTTCGCGAGCGACAACCTGGGCATCACCGAGCCAGCGATGTCAACCAGTATCAGCCACACATCCTCGGCCTTCCGGCCCCCGCAGACGATTGTTGACAGCGCCATGGGGGAACAACAGCAACAGATTCCCGGCACGATGCTGGCACCGATCTATACCAGTCTGTCCAGAAACGTCTACGGAGATGCGGGTTATTGTCTACTGAACATCGTGCCGACCGAGCAATTCGCCAAGGGGACCGACCTGCCGATTGCGAAAACGGCGGTCGATCAAGAGACGGTCGCTCTTAATTTTCGCTACAACAATTACTTCACTTCCGGCGTGCAACAGCAGCTGAGGGATGCACACATGTGCGCCCAAGTGGCGGCGGATCGGCTGTCGGCTGCCAGATCGGCGGGCATATTGCATCATCTGCCACCCGCCGCGGCTGTGCTGCCGAGCATCCCTTGTGTGCAACCCAATTGCACGCAATGCAACTACAAGTTCACCTAAATGTATTTCTCTAGAGAGGTATAGCTAACTGTATCGGTAGATTTGATTGCAGAATAGTCTTTTAATATTAATTCTCCTAAATAAAAGAAGTTGGAGAAAATATATATGTAGGGATTGAAACATTTCATAATTTTTTTTTCTATTTATATACGAAATTTACTTTAATTGAAAAGTATTATAATTACATTATTTACACATTATCGCTTAGAAGTTTGCAGCAATCTATAATTTTGAAATAAAAATACTATTTTTATTTTTAAAATTTATTTATATTTTTTTAACATACACTATTACAATAACTTATTATATTTTAAACAACGTAAACTTTTGTATATTTACAATATTAATAAGTAAAATTGATTAAACTTTGTTTTCAAAATTTCGAGGTGAACTTTTGAGCGATATAGTGTATGTTCCAATTACAGTGTTATGATATTATTAATTGAGTTTTGACTCGTTGTACAAAAGAAAGAACGGTGTTATTTAATTTTCCGTGAAAAAATACATAATGGGGAATAATTGAAAAGAAACGCGCAACAATTGCCTCTCTTTCTCTCTTTCTCTCTCTCTCTCAAGTGGTTGCTCGGGGGGAGAAAAACGGTATCGCACAGAGGATATCGGACAGAATGAAATCCATCGTATTTGTCGAAGTAATAGAGCGTCGGTAATCTAGTTAGAAATATTCGATTCACCACATATAAACAACGCCAGCCGGTCAATCGTACCGTAGCCGCGAGCGATTTACTTTGGCTTTGGTTTTAGGTGCAAGAAAAACAGACCGAATTCCCCCTCGCGAATCCTCGCTCCGTCTTTTCTCCCCTGAGAGGATTCGCGGTGTCGCGTCTCGAATTACAAAGCACGCGCAAAGAAACTTAATACCGTTATCGATCGTGGAAATGTAATACCTCTTGCTCGCTTGCTTGAAAAATTGAACGAGACAAACCTTCGTCGTGTTGGCACTTGAAATTTGTTTACACTCATATTCTGTTCGATCCTCGAATAAAGCATTTAGCTTTGAATACGCAGTATAATCATTATCAGAACTTAACAGTATTAAGCGGCGTCTACAATGAGCTTTTAATCTCGAAACATAATAGAAGTAAATTTAAGTTTATTGATCAATCGAATGAGAAAAAAATAATCGACTATGATCGATTGATTTTTTATGGCTTAAAAAGGTGCGATTTTATAAGTATATTCAGATATTGTTCCTATTCTCATTAGTATAATCTCAAAACATAGAGTGGGGGAAATCAGATTCCAATATTTTGTCACAAACATCTAAGTTTTCATGGAGAGTAAAATATTGGAATATGCCAAAATGTTGATAGTTAACTAACGCTAGGTTTGTAAATCTCGTGAGTACAAAATTTGTCGAGAGATACTTATTCTTTTAAGAATAAGAGATCAGAAAACTTAGAAAAATAATTTACAACCTGGTACTAAGAATGAAGAACAATTTACATTAGAGACAAGTATTTAGCGCAAATGCTAATCGTTCACGTACCCAATATACATATTCCATAGTTCGATCACACCGGACTATCGAAGATCATATTTGAGCTATGTTCAGATTCCTACTCAGGTATCACTCCATACTTGTTTACTGAATATTAAACAAAGACTGAGGAACACCCGGATGGAAATCCAAACACGCTTCTAAGTACGGAAAAAGCGTTCTATTTTTAATTATAATAATGAGAGTCAATATCTGGTTATATGTGTAATCATTACATATATAAAATATACTAAAATCTCGATGTAGAGCCGCTTTAACTTTTCAATTAAAGAAGGCATAGGGCAGGTCTCATCAACTCCGACTAACTTAATCAACAGATTGATATATTGGAACTGACCAATTGCATTTGCGGCAGAATTAACCAATCACAGTTGACATTTAATCGACCGATTAGACTAATCGGAATTAGTGAGACCGGCCCATAGTTCGTTGCAATTTTTTTTCGTATTTTATTCGTGCAAGCAACAATAAAATGTAAACGCATCTAACATAATATGACAACGATTCAGTTGTCACACATCACATTGCTTATCGCAGATATCTTTATCCACGAATAATCGCGCGTCACAACGCCATCGGCAAAGAACCTCACGGTCCTATATCTTCTGGTAAAAATTCGATGGGAGCATGGGACGCAGGGATCAATATATTGCCATTTCTGCAACCTGAATCGCTTTATCATTTCAGAAACGAAGATGTGGCTTGTTCTTGATCATATGCCTGTAAAAATAGAAACTTATTGTTATTAAAGATATTGATTTAATGATGATTAATGGAATAGCTTAAAAAAAAATATATATATATATATATATATATATATTATAATTTATATGAAATGTTTTTAATGAGAAAAAAACTTGCATAATTTATTTCGTTTAATAAGATCTTTCTTTTGGAAAATTAAGAAAAATGCATTGTTTTAATCAACACAAAACGTGTATATGACATGAAAATACAATTTCTATTTATTAAAATATAATGCATTTGAGTATTTTTCCAACTGGAGAAAGGATTTTGGAACTGAAAATGCAAAAATCAGTAAAATCTTAAAATAAGTTATTAAATTAAACAGATTTGTTATTACTTTAAAGCATTTTTATTATCCTATTAATAAAAAACTTACATACCATGTTACAAAATACCACATTTAGTTATTTCATTGAAAAAAATATGATATTTTTTCCTTTTATGTTAATATCAAAATGTTATATCAAAATAAAAATAAAATATTAAACACAGAGAAAAAAATTGGTAAAACAAGTTTCATAAAAAAAATAATGATAATAAATACAAATTAAAAAATTAATAAATCTTGATTACTCAAAATATAAAATAAGGATTTAACTTCTGTCCTAGAATACTAAGGATCCAAGAGTTCCAATATCTCACGTTTTATAATAATTTCTAAATATAGCAATTTTTGAATTTCTCTCAACTCTATTCGTAATATACTATTCATAAAACAATAAGAATTAAAAAGCTTAGATTAAATTTAAAAAATAATTTATTAGTTTAATTTCAGAAATTATATTAGGAGTAGTATGTGTATGTGATAATAAATTAAATTAATAGGGTATTAATAACTCACTTATCGAGATGTTCCCAAAATATCATTAATGCTGCTCTATCCAAATGCCTCTTTGTCCGACTCAATTCAATCACTGTGACAGCCCATCGCGCTACGTTTGTGTCCAACCTCATCTCATCATATTTTAAGTGAAACGCACATACTGTGAAAGAAGAAACAACATTCACATTTTTGCTCACACATTTAAAATACAATAAAAATGACATATGTGATCGAGTTTTTCTCTTTTAGTAAAGACTAAAATTTACAATATTTTATGTATATTCTTCGCAATTTAATAAAACGCCTAATCAATTATGGCACATTATTTCCATAAACTGAGAAAAATCTAAAAGATAGTATAAAAATGCAAAAATAATCATATATATATATATATATGTATATTTCACTACAAAGAGATTTTTTTCGTACTTTTTGAAAAAATTTCCACTGGGTTACCATCAAATGGCCAACCTTTGAATTGCCAAGCCGGTCCCATGACAAACACAGCAACGACCCTCTCCCAATCGGCATTTGTGAGTTTTTGTGGATTATCGACTACTCGATAAGGTACGGTCAAACCACCTTCCTTCCGCCGTTGAAGAAGCACTTCATTCTCTCGCTTGCAACCCTGCGACCGTTTGTCCTCATTACTAATATACTTCAAGTCTTGGAGGATGTCCTTAGCGTTGTACATGGTAATGAGAGATGTGTTGGCGCTAGGAATGATGATAATGGGCGTTCGACTGGGTCGTTTGTTCTGCGCGGCTTGCTGAGGCGTTAGTTTAGCGGCGGATGTCGGCAGTAAACCAGAGGTTGGCGTGGCGGACGGATTGGTCGGGGGTTTCCTCACGGCGGGATTTGTGCCCTCAGTTACGGACTTTAGGGTCATGCCGTGATACGTTCCCATGGTGTCGATCTTAAAGCCTTCCGTTTCTTCCTTCTGCCGGATGAAACGTTCCTGATCGTAACGATTGTAGACGGCTGGTTGTGGAAGAGGCCTCATGGGTGTCGAGCGCGGCGTCACCATGGGCGTAGGTACGATTGGGCCCTTCTGCCTACCTTCTTCACGTGCCTTAATACTTTGCAGAATCGCAAAGATGTTCTTTGCGAAGATCTTACCGCTACTCTGCAAGATAGTGGCGCGCGTTCGCCATTGACGTTCGCGGGACACGATGTCTTTTGTATCGTCTACATCCATGTCGAGGATTACGCGTAGATCCGAGCCCATGCCAATATCATCGTTCTCCTTGATAGTAGTACGTTTTTTCGCCAAACGTTTTGCCTTGATTGCAGCAATCTTTTCCACTGACATTGCCTCCGAGAGGGATTTGATATTATCGACGGTAACTGAGGCTTCCTTAGGAGCATCCAGACGTGCAGCTAATTGCTCCTTCACCTTTTGCACGTGGGTCTCCTCGAAACGGGGTTTTTTCGATGAGCCGCTTTCTAAGCCATCCTCGGCGGCGCGTTTCACTTGTGTTGGGATTTCCAACGGCGCCGACTTGTCTATGGCGGCTGACGTTGCAGTTTCACCATTGAGATAGGCCAGTAAATCTTTCCTGTCAGGTCGACGCACCACCGGGATATTCTCCGCGGCTGCTTGTCGCACATACACTGGATGTGTAAGCTGAACATGTTTGAGTAGAAATAAAAGACACTCGAGTGTATAGTATTCCTTGGGTGTCCCTTCTTTTCCGGATCTGGAAAACAGAAAGAAATATAAGTATCCTTCTCAAAGAGATTTTTCTTCATTTTGTAAATAATAGACACTTTTATTATAAATATTTTATCATTTTCAATCTTTATATATCTTTTTAAACAAAATATATAATATACGGTCATAACTAAAAAAAGCATTCCTACAATTTAATGTAAACGTGTATATCTAATGAAAAATAAATTAAATATTTATTGTATATATCATAGCAATTTTAATATTTTGTCAATTTTTCTTTGGATTTTATTACTTTTTTTTTCTTTCAAAAAGAAATGCAATAAATCTGAGATTACTTT